TAAAATATGACATTGTATAAGAATTGGAATAAATTCAAAATTAGTTGAAAACAGCTGTTCGATCGAGCTGAGGTTAACTTGTGCTTTGTCACGTGACTTGCATTGACTCGGAAAAGTGTGCGGCTTTGTGCTTCAAGCGGGGTATAAGGGATTTATTCTCCCTCTCAGAAATCAATTGCAGCATGTCTTGTTTGTGGCGTGGTGTAAGGGATTTATTCTCCCGATGAGAAATTAATTTCACTCCAAGGCGGGATACATAGCTTTTTATCAAGATCACGTGAACCAAGAAGATTTCATCATTCTAACATGGTATCCGTGAAGATCCGGGTTAGAATAGGTCTTCAGCAACCCATGCTTTCAGTAAAAGGGGACTATGCTTGCCGTAAATGGCGACTAACGGGATCCTGTGGTCGGATTCGCTGACTTGGTTGATGAATGCCATCGTATCCCAATTGCGCGGATCGATGCTTATGATTTCAATTACTGGATTGTCTGATCCAGACTTTTATTTACTGACCGCCGTCATATAGCTAGAATAAAAGCCTGGAATTGTTTTTCTTAAATATGGTCAAATGTGTAATGGAGGGTATTCTTTTGATATGAATAAAACATAAACATAATGCATTACCCGAATTTGACCTTGTGTAAAGGAAGGTTAGAACACATTTACATACAGTTTATCTGGTTGGACTACATAAGTCACGCTATCACTTAGAACGTTACAGAAAAGATTTCATTTCCACCAACGGCAGCTAAAACAAAACAATGAAGGTATGACAAGGTCTGTGAATGTTGTTCCTCTTCTTTTCAGCGACTTGCCGGTGTCTGTGAGTCCAGACCGTGTGGTGTGAACGACACGTGTAGAGACAGGGGCTGGAGCTATGAATGTGAACAAGGTAACCTCCTGTATAAACATAAACATGCCAGCTATCAATATTAAGCACTCATCAAGCCTACTGTCGCTAACATGTCCACATCCATTACTTATTTGTTCACTCAGATAACTCGCGAAGCCCGGTCATTCCAGAGCTATGGGGGCGGTCGGGTAGCTAAGTGGTTAAAGCATTCGCTCGTCACGCCGAAGACCCGAGTTCGATTCCCGACATGGGTACAATGTGTGAAGCCCCTTTCTGGTGTCCCTCGCCGTGAAATTACTGGAATATCGCTAAAAGCGATGTAAAACCTTACTCACTCACTCACTATCAGCTACATGATGTAGAAACGACTCACTGACTCACTCACTCCAGAGCTAAATGTTAAAGTTGTTAAATAGTCAAGGTGAGCTTATATTCCAATACTCTGTTTGAAGTACGTCCGCGTGTATATTTATAATGAATTATATTAGATGTCTTAGAATTTAGATATTGCCAGTGATAAACATGATCATTGTGTTTTGATCATGTGGTTACAATCCGAGTAAGGGGCAACATTGCACAAAACTGCGGACTTGCAATGTTTGTAATGTTTCTCATTACTGTAAGTAATATGCCTTATCGCCGGAACGGCTTGTTTTCACTTTCTATGTTTAAGAGTGAGTGAGTAAGTATGGTTTTACGCCACTTTTAGCAATATTCCAGCAATATCATGGCGAGGGACACCAGAAATGGGCTTCACATGTACCCATGTCCGGAATCGAATCCGGGTCTTCGGCGTGACGGGCGAACACTTTAACCACTAGGCTACCCGACCGCCCCTCTAAGTTTAAGAGCACATGTTGCTGTTTTTGTTTATTAATAATCGGGATATTTCGTGACTTTATGTCATATTGACGAGGACTATAGTTTCTGTTTCCTTCTTTTAAGAAACGTAGTAGGGAGATTTATTTCCTCGCTAAGGTCATTTCATGATGATGATGGTGATTTTACAAGCGCTTCCGGTGGAGCCGATGTCGACTCGATTCATTTGAGTGTCATAAAACAGATTTTACAATTTAAGATGGAGGAGGCGTCGATTTGCTAGGACATGATGATGAACTTTCTCTGCTTTTTTTCAGAGGAGTTATGCTTCACAAGATCGACGCTCTATCTCGGAACCCTGAACATTACCAACACCGGCCGGACATGTCAGAGGTGGGACACTGACATCCCACACAATCGTCTGTATTTCCCCCGGGGAATGTCAGCCGAGGACCCCGCCCTAGTTGACGAGAGCAACTACTGTCGGGTGGAAAATCACACAATGCCGTGGTGTTATACGGTGGACCCCAGCGTACGTTGGGAGGAATGTAGCGTCCCTTTCTGTTGACTCAATGGGCACATTTTTTCACGCCGCTTTTAGCTATATTCCAGCAAAAGCATGGCGGGGAAATCAGGTGTGGGTGAGGGTGTGGGTGTGTGTTGGGGTAATTCTCTCCTGCATGGTGACGTTGATGCGTTTGAGTCAATAAAGGAATATGGTTTACATCGCCTGGGACTGAACATCACAAAAGAAGACACAGTAGCTCCACGTGCTGTATCAATTTATGAAGCCAAACCGGCCATGAACTATGCCATGACATTAGACGGTTTATGGACGTCCAAGTGTATGAGGATAGATGACTTATGTGCATCATTATGGACGCTGAAGTGTATGACATATTCAGAAGACGGTTAATGAAAATCATTTGGAAGCGTATGAAGTGGATGAAGATGAACGTTCAAATGTATGATGATAGACGGTTTATAGACATCATATGAACGCTCAAGTGTATGACGATAGACGGTTTATAGACATCATATGAACGCTCAAGTGTATGACGATAGACGGTTTATAGACATCATATGAACGCTCAAGTGTATGACGATAGACGGTTTATAGACATCATATGAACGCTCAAGTGTATGACGTGAGACGGTTTTTAGACTTCAAATGGACGCTCAAGTGTATGACGATAGACGGTTTTTAGACTTCATTGCGTATGACGATAGACGGTTTTTAGACTTCATATGGACGCTAAAGTGTATGACGATAGACGGTTTATAGACATCATATGAACGCTCAAGCGTATGACGATAGACGGTTTTTAGACTTCATATAGAGGCTCAAGTGTATGGCGACAGACGGTTTATAGACATCATATCATGAAGGCTCAAGAGTATGAAAGTAGCTGGTTTATAGACGCTATCTCGACGCTCAAGTGTATGGCAATAGATGTCTTATGGGCGTTTGTTTGTCGCACTCAGCAATATTCCAGCTATATGACGGCGGTCTGTAAATAATAAGTCTGGACCAGACAATCGATCCAAGTCAGCGAGCCTGACCACCCGATCCCATTCGTCGCCAGTTTCGACAAGCACAGTCGCCTCTTACGGCAGGCATGGGTTGCTGAAGACCTATTGTTACCCGGATCTTCACGGGGCTCAAGTGTGTGACCATAGACTGTTTGTAGACGGCAAAAGACGTTTTTTCGACTTCATATTGACGTTTAAGTGTATGACGACAGATGATTTATGGACTTCAAAATGCACGATCAAGGGTGTGACAAAAGCGATTTTGTTTCAATTTCTATCATTCCCTTTGAGAGTCAGGTGAGGCAAATAGTAACAAACTACAGCAAATTGTAATACCAAGTGCGGAAAATTGTAATAACATCTCTCATTCCTTCAGATTCCAGTCATAATTCGAGTTCCAGTGTTTGTTGAAGTTTAACATGATCACTTTCAACCTCCAGTGTGTTTAAGGAAATAAAAAAGCGATTTTGTTTCAGTTTTTATCATTAACTGTATGTGTTTATGAATCTCTGTCACATAGTGCTGACACCAGGTTTTCTTGAAAAGGTGAAGTTCTTCCTTTCATCAGAGTTAAATAATTGACAGTTCTGTAGACATATTACCAGTCAGCAAACTAATTATGTCCAGACCAGACAAGCCATGCGCAGACGATAGCGTGGGCGTAGATCAGTGCCAGGCAGGCAGGCAGGTAGGCAGGCAGATTGTTCATTATAGTCACAACTCAATAAAAATGCATTGAAACGTCAAACAGTACACAGTTAAAATATCAATACAATTTGAGCCATTACAATCAATATTACATTCAGTTACATATGTACAGGAAGACGTGTTAAAAGTTATACATTGATGCTAAATAGTTATTAACGGCTATATACATAAGATTGTCGCTTTTAAAGTACAGTAAACTACGGTTATAACGAACATGCTTATAACGAACTGACGCATATAACGAACTTACTTTTTTGGTCCCGACTATTTGCTGTAGTTATGCTGTATATATGCGTATAACGAACACCGGTTATAACGAACTTAAATTAATAGTCCCTTTGAGTTCGTTATAACCGTACTTTACTGTATATGACATTCATCCTCAACGTCATTTTTACAAAACAGACAGACTCTCTCGTGTAAAAAAGTTCCATCACAACGCCCCGTTTCAACACGAATAGGGTCTACACCACATCTAAACCTTGCTAATGGTCTCCTGTGTGATCTGGGGATATTACATTCTACATAATATTCAACCTTACATACAACTTTAAAATCACCATATCACCTCAATGTATTCCCCCCATGAAACCAGTACACCAGGGTATGACGATAGACAGTCATCCAGGTTCGAGTTCATACAACAGTGAACTTTGAAAATAACAAGAATTCCCATTTATTGGATGAGGGCAATCGTATACATGTAGTGGCCAATATGGTTACAAAATAACAAGGTCATATTAAAACCATGTTTTCAGAAGAACCGGATTCGTCTATACAATCCCAACAGTCACTGTGACCAAGGCAATCCACTTCAGAAACCATTCCGACCAACATGACGTCATCACAGATGTTCCTAGCCCTGGTCATGCGTGTAAACCTACCGTTGACGCCTGACGAGAAATCTATATACCAACATTACCCCATCTCCGGGTGCAGTGCATTTTTTATCACAGATATCACACATTCACTGACAGGCGATGCTACAACCTGCTCGCACTTACCAGTGATAGGCTTAAAAAAGTTTGATCTCGATTATCATCGGTGTGATATTTTCATTACCTGGAGACTACATGAAAGTAGAATATCACATAGGTGATGAGGACAAATATAGAACCTTATAAATACAGGGTTGTTGGCTGCCACGTCCAATACATCATCATGTGCGGCAAGTGCGTTATCACGGCGTTCCTTCTGTGTCTGACATGGTCTGTGTGTGTGGATGGATGGGTAAGTGGTAGACCAGACTTTTTTGGTTCCACGCAGAAAACGTTGAAAAGCAACACCTTAGAAATTTAGACTACGTAAGTGATTTTGTTTAATATGATTACTTACGACTTTGAGAAAGGTGATCAAGAAGGCGAACTTTCAGCAGAATTATTTTGAGCAGAAGGATTTTGATTGAAATCGATCCAATCTCTTTAAAATCTGATGTTGGTTCTCGTGCCAGCTCTACAAAGATCAGGGGACATCATATTGTGAATCACGTTATTGTGACTGAGTGAGATGGGTTTAACGCCGCTTATAACAGTACTCCAGTTATATCACGGCGTGTCAGCTTAATGTGGGAGGAAAGCCCCAAGTGATGCATGTCTCAGACGTTAACCACTTTGGTGAAACCCACGAGCACGGGTATGGTGCTGAAAAACCTAGAAACATAATCGGGGCGAACCGGAATTCGAACCCACAATTTTAGGTTTCTGGCGTGCCCAAGGGACGCAACTCTGCACAGCGAATTGCAGCGCCTAAGACGACTGGGCCACCTGTGCCCCCTGGATCACGTTATAACTACCTTTCAAATACGAATCAGAGCGTCGCTTACCAGATCGGAAAAGTGACTGCCGAATGTATTTTCTAATCATGCAACCTCGAAAAGCTTAACACGGGCTATTCTCCCTACAGTTAGGGGTGTACGAGTGATTCCGTCAAAATCATCGTCTCTCTCTCGCTTCAAAAGATAAACATTTGAAACAGAAGAGACTTACTTTCAGTAACCCGTTGGAAGTATTAGAGTAGGACTACCAAGTAATTATTTACATATAATCACTTACAATGTTGAGAAATGTGATCGAGTAGGCGAATAAATTTTCATCGTGGATCAAACATCGGTTTGTATAATCCAGACTCTATTATTTACAGATCACGGTGATATAATACAGGCAAATCTGTGTTGTTTCTAGTTGTTTTGCTGATATTTGTCTACAGGATCTACAGTAAACTACGGTTATAGCGAACTCAAAGGGACTACTAATTTTAGTTCGTTATAAACGTAGTTGGTTATAAGCATATATACAGCATAACTACAGCAAACAGTCGTAATCAAAAAAGAAAGTTCCTTATATCCGTCAGTTCGTTATATACGTGTTCGTTATAACCGTAGTTTACTGTATATCGAATACATATATTTATTATTTATGTACACATTGTAGTCACTATATGGTTGAAATAATGCCGATGTAACGTTGAAGTGGAACTTACACATTCACTCTTATCGTCCCAATGCATATCTAGGTCTGTGGATTGCAATCAATATCTGACTGTTCACATACTGTTTGACCTAGGTTCAGATTGTAAACAGCTGGCATATGGGTCGACTCGACCTCGTTCTTTATTTCAAAATGATTAAACAAATCAAATGTACAGTTTGTACTCAGTACATAGTCTATAACACTTTGTGCATAACAAGCCATTATTTTTATAACATTATTTATCTGTAAATAACAATGTAGTTTCCTTCGCACTGCCCTGATTTGTTTCTGTAAACAATTCCAAGATAATGATTTTACTAGTTTTCCGTGTTTTTTCCCAGTTTTCACTACTTCATATTTATAACTGTGTATGTGTTTCAATTTCACAAGCATCAGTTGTGTTGCTCCTGGCCTCTCTAGTAGTCGGGGCACGGGTGTCCCAGTCGTCTGAGGCGCCGCGATTCGCTGTGCAGAGTTGCGTCCCTTGGGCACACCAGGAACCTATGATTGTGGGTTCGAATCCCGGTTCGCCCCGATTATGTTTCTAGGTTTGTCGTCACCATACCCATGCTCCTGGGTTTCACCAAAGTGGTAAACGTCTGCAACTCTTTCGGCTTTCCTCCCACATTAAGCTGACACGCCGTGATTTAACTGGAATACTGTCAAAAGCGGCGTTAAACACAACTCACCCACTCACTCACTCACTCACCTCTCTGGTAGTCTCCACAGGGGTTGTCACATGGATGCGTCTCTGGATGACTTCTCGAATTTTCAGTACCCTGTCACACGGTGATTCTCCGGGCGCTTCATGCACATTGTAAAACATCTAATATGATAATTAGGAAGCGGACGTAATATATCTCTTGCTCGCGTCCATATACTTTTGGAAAAAGAATTTGTGGTTTATCGGCGCCTCTGTTGCCTGGTGGCACACTCTCATGGCTACAGTGAGTGAGTATGGTTTTACGCCGCTTTTAGCAATATTCCAGCAACATCACGGCGGGGGACACCAGGAATGGGCTTCACACATTGTACGCATGTAGGGAATCGAACCCGGGTCTTCGGCGTGACGAGCGAACGCTTTAACCACTAGGCTACCCGACCGCCCCCTACAGTTAAGAAGGTTGCAAGTTCGATTGACTGAAATATATAGAAGACATGTGCTGTTAATGTAGATGACATATGTCACAAAATCTGTATCGAAATTAACATGATGTTTTTCAGAAGCTATCAGTGATGTATCTGATGTTGTCACGATAGATAAACAGGTGGTGTGATGTTTCAATTATCTATGTGTGCATCTCTTAATTTGTACGAGAGATCTTGTATAAACCAGGACTGAGTCTAGAAAAAACACATCACGGCAATCATCATGTGCGGCAGATACGTTGTCACAAGCATTTCAATGGCCTTGAGGTTGAGTGTGAAAATGCAGAATACCCTCAATGACATGTATATGTCTGTGAAAGCCTGTGTAAGTCTGTGAAAGTCTGTGAAAGAGGTACCAATGTTTAAACGGATTTCTTGGAGTATCCTGATGGCAAGGATATACTTAGTTCATGTATAGTTTTCTCGTCATTAGAGAATGTTCAACAGTAGTGTTAATGCATGGTGAATACGAATAGTTGTTGAAATTCCCCTCTGTTTTTATTATCTCCGGCGCTTTTTCATATGCATCGACACTTTAAGTCACACTTTCTTTCCGAAATAGTCATACACACATTGTGTTATTGTCAATACCAGTTGTTCTTCCGAAAGCAGACATGCACACCATACTTAATAATACAGTCTGGCACTGTAAGGGTGAAACAGTTTCAAAAGTGAACACGTACATCTAGGCTTAACGGACAATTAAAATATTCTCAAAACCAAGGCTGCCAATGTTGAGTATTATGTTTTTATTAGTACCGTGGTCTAGTAGATAGGGCCTCTGCTCGGAGGGCGGTAGCTTGATGATTCTATCCACACCAAAAGACGTGAAAAGATAGTACTTTTCGGTTAGCGTCATCATACTTGAATATGACCTCTGGACCTCTTTATGACCTTTGGACATTGTGCATTTGCCTTTTAACGTTTTACAGTTGCAAGTTTGTGTCTTCATCTGGAAACGAGACAAGGCGAGTTAATAGATGTAATATAATGTTGCTATTAAGAGAGTTACAGATAAAAGCCCGAAATGATACTTCTAAGGCCTTCTACATGGTTATGGAAATGGTGTTTTGTTCGCTTGTATTTGACCTTTATCATATTGAAAATATATGCATACACAGATTGGAGCTGTCCAAAGCTGCCTTAAGCTATGCTTAGCCCTGTGCTTGGTTGCAGTGGTCCTCCAGGTCTAAAGTGTCGGGCAGCACCATCGCCAGAACAGCTAACAAGTACATAGGTAGCACCACGTGGTCCTACGCCTCCCCACACAAAACCGGGGCCAACACCAACAAATGTAACATCTTCGTTGCAGAAGTCCTGGAGGAGGCGGGAGCCACAGTTCCCCAAAGGTATTCGTAAATTCCACATGAGTGAGTGACTGATTGAGTGATTAACGGCGCATTTGAAGGTATGTAAGTAAGATGAATCACGAAGGTCATAAATGGTAATTGTCAGCACAGGAATGGGTCATATAATGTGCGACCAGCGTATCCTGACAGCTCAATCACCCGCAGGAGCAGATGATATTGAATCGAGGTACACTTCTACATGAAGAATAATAAACGAACCGATGTTTGGTTTTTTTTATATGAGCGAGTGAGTTGGGTTTAACGCCGCTTTTAACAGTATTACAGTTATATCGCGGCGGGTCAGCTTAATGTGGGAGGAAAGCCCGAAGTGGTGAAGGTTTCAGACGTGTAACCACTTCGGTGAAATATTCAGTATTCATCTGATACGTCGTTACAAACAATAAGGAAGTAAAAAATCATGTCTCCAAGCATGGTATCTTGAATTGAATGCGTTGTAGAGTTTTCCCTCCTTCAATATTCCAAATCATGAGAATTACAGTTGAACTTCCAAACATTACTCTAAATGAAACCGAACTTTCACCTGTCTCTGGTCGCATGTTGCAGGCACTGGTACACCTGGAGCCCTATCGGGGCAGGAGAGTGGGGGAATGCCAGGTCAACATACCTGACAAAGGACCCCTGCTGGAATAGCACGACTTCGTCAAGATCTGGCGACGTCATTGGCGACGGTGTACACGTTGGCATAGTAACAGGCAGCAGGAACACCACAAGTGCACGGCGGGATAAAATTGTGAGGAACGATTTTGGTTTCCGTGCCGTCCAGAAACCAATGACTCTGTGGCGTTATGTCTGCTAATGCACAAACACCTGCAGTCATTATGTGCTGAGTGAGCACAATCAACAAAGAAATCGTTCTTTTGTCTGGAGTACTTCTTCCTTTGCCGGTTAGCAACCTTCCTGGTAGCAGGCACATGTAACTTACGGTGCCGTCAGGTCCGACCAATTCATAGCTTTTGTTGGAATCGTACGATCGACGCTGTTTCCAGGAGAGATTTCTTTTAAATATTATAAGGGTCTTGTCGCACGTATTTAACAACAGAAAAGTAAAATGAATAATTTTATTAACATGAAGTATACAATTATGTCAATGATTGAAAATAATGCTTTTGTAGGTATTTGTGAAACCCCGACAATAATATTTTTTATCCATTTGTCTTCTCTTCACATACAAACCAAAGACACCCGCAACAAAAAATATAATTGGTTTGTCTTTACAAAGGGGACAGCTGGGGCATTTTCTTCTTTAATTCCGCCACAAAGGTAATTACCTATTTCAGGAGATATTTTTTTTAAAATAAGCATTAACAACGCACACGGAAATATGCACTGTACGATGTGATGGACTGGCCATATACTATTGGGGGGTGAGGGTGAGATTGGTTTAAGGCCTGTATTTTATTTCCGACTCCCTAAAAATAATAAATTACAGGTCCCTACTTAAGCTTTAAATGTATAACTTTTTCCCTCGATAAAATAGAACTGTCCTAATTCCATAACCGATAACAATACATATGGCTGCAAGAAGTGGGGAAGGGCCCCGCAGTGACAGCTGAATAAAAGCAAACGCTACGTAACGATATTTCTTCTTGCATAGACAGCGGAATATAAGCAAACGCGACGTATCGATATTTCTTCTTGCAGTGACAGCTGAATAAAAGCAAACGCGACATATCGATATTTCTTCTCGCAGTGACAGCTGAATAAAAGCAAACGCGACGTATCCATATTTCTTCTTGCAGTGACAGCTGAATGTAAGCAAACGCGAGGTATCCATATTTCTTCTTGCAGTGACAGCTGAATGTAAGCAAACGCGACGTATCGATATTTCTTCTTGCAGTGACAGCGGAATATAAGCAAACGCGACGTATCCATATTTCTTTTTGCAGTGACAAATGAATATAAGCAAACGCGACGTATCCATATTTCTTCTTGCAGTGACAGCTGAATAAAAGCAAACGCGAGGTATCGATATTTCTTCTTGCAGTGACAGCTGAATATAAGCAAACGCGAGGTATCGATATTTCTGCGTCGTTGTTTTTCCTAGATTGAATGCGCGTGTGGGAACAGAAAATCTTTATTGTCCTTTATTTTGATGTGGACAATTCTAATTAGCCAGGTGATAAAAGAACAAAAGCAGTATATTCAACGGGGAATAAAATATGATGAAGATATGATTAGCCTTTTCTATTATATTTGTATCACTGTAAGGTTAACCCGTGAATTCCCGGGTTAGAATAGGTCTTCAGCAACCCATGCTTGCTGTAAAAGGCGATTATGCTTCTCGTAAGAGGCGACTAACGGGATAGGGTGGTCAGTCTCGCTGACTTGGTTGATGCATGTCATCGTATCCCAATTGCGTGGATCGATGCTCCTGATGTCAATCACCGGATTGTCTGGTCCAGACTCGATTATTTACAGACCGCCGTCATATCGCTAGAATATTGCTGTGTGCGGCGTTGTATAATAAACAAACAAACAAACTGTAAGGTTAAACTTCCCAGTGCGTGTGGCCATGCAGAGGAGTGTAGTAGCGTGTTTAGAGTTATCTGCTCTTGTCGTATTACTCTTGGGCCATTTGTAACCAGCTCGTGTTATTCCGGGAAAGACGCGAGTGGTCACTTAAACGTCTGGAACGTGGAGAGGTGAGGCGGAATGAGGAATCAAGGGATTTATGGCAAGGGACAGTCCCTAATAGTTGACTTCGAGATTGGTGTAGTTGGAAATGGACGGAGAGATGTAGTGAATGCAGTGTACAAGTCACTCGTTGGACTGTAAGAATTTAATGGCGATGTTTAGGCAGTTCAGTTGTTGTTTTTGAGTTTTACTTTCACTGTTGTGTCAACATGAGTATTGTCGACAATACTGTATTATATGGACTTCAATGTTAAGACACGAGTTATTGTTGTTTTCTGCTGCAGCAGTGATTTTCCTGCTACTTCACCGCGGTCTGGCCCAGATATACCCGTGGTTGACAGCATGAGCAACGACCCATGCTTGGATGCACAATGAAACAGTCAGTCAGGTCTCCGTTTTACGTGACGAATTCTGCCCCCACTCTCCACGCCCCGATCCCCACGAGGAAAAATGGAGACCTCCGGAGACAAGTTTTGAATCGAATGTGTACACGTTAATAGGTTTATGTTTCATTCAATGTTACGTTTGTCGTGGTAAATAACCTCAATTAATTGTTTCTAAATATTAAATGACTAAGGCGCGCTAACAGTACGGAACCCAGGTATATTCATCAATAGGATCCCTACTGTTTCTACTGACCTGTGAAGGTCCGGGTTAGAATAGGTCTTCAGCAACCCATGGTTATCGTAAGAGGCTACGTTGCTTGTCGTAAAAACTGGACTAAATCGTCAGACTGGCGGATTCGGTTCATACCATCGTATCCAAAATGTGTGAATCGATGCTTATGATATGTCTGGTATAGACTCGATTATTTACAGACCGCCGTCAAAATTGCGGTGTTTACTTACAAACAAAGAAACAAACAGACTACTGGTTAAGCAGGCTAAGCTGAACCAACTCACATAACGCGTTTGAGACAAGTTGGCACTGAACAGAATTTGGGCAAACAGGTTTGGTTTGTTTCAAGTAGGTGGACGCATATTTTGCACGTGCAGGTCCTGTGTCTAAGTGGAGTAACCATGTTAAAACTGCGGCATGGTATCACACTTCAGTCGACATTAGCCTAGACAAATGCAAGCAGCGACAAACACACACATACACACCGCAAACCGCGCACACAGCAGCATCAGCAACACACACACACACACACACACACACACACACACACACACACACACACACACACACACCACAAACCTGGTTGGTCTCTCCATGTCTACAAAATAAAATTAAAAAATTAAAAAGGAGGACAGAACAATTCTTAATTTCAGGCTAGAGCTGTGGAACTCTAGACTTTCCCAATCATTGTAGCCTTCCGTTGGTCTCATTTTTTCACTTTATACTCTTGGGTCTATGTCACAGCTCATACCACACAATAACAAGACCAGTTCCCCCCCCCCCCCCCCCCCCCCCCCGCCGGAGCTCCTGGATTTTGGTTATATCATCTAACGTGGCCAACTCTGCTCTTAAGTAAACAAGAACCTAATCAGTGAGGGGTCCTTTATCATCCCTATTTGACTGCTTATAAAAATCTTATATCTCTCCTCACAGCTGGTTAATATATAGTTTTGCTGCTGAATATTCGAAAGAGAGTGATTGAGTTGGTACTTCACATGTATACGGTTCCATTTTAAATGACTGCAGCGCTCCATTCTGAAAACAAATTATTTTAACGCCGCTCTCAGAAATAAATGCAAATTGAATCTTGAATCTTGAAAGTTGTAGCTTTTCCGCAAATCAGTATCACATGCAGTATACTGTATATCAATTGCAATATACCGTATACAACATGCAGTATACAGCGTGTCGCGAGCAGGAGCACACATTTCCTACCTCTCGCCCTTCGGCAAACACCTCATGGGGGGTGTAACGAGGTCACAGGTCAGGCGTGCACTCGTCAGTTGTCTGATACGGTCACTGCACAAGAGGAATGTGGATTGTTGACGAGGTACTACGTGTTTGGAACTGGGAGTTGAACACTAAGCACTTATAGAGAAGAGCTCACCATAAAAACGTTATGGACTCGCTGACGGACTTGTGTTTTCAATTCAAGACGCACATGTATCAGGGTTGAACTTCTACGACAGATATAACTTACGACGGTAAGCTCCCTAACTGTAACGTTAACTGAACTTTACGCCTTTTATACATATTTGTGATGGGGCGACAATGCGACAACGAGACATATTTTGACATTGAAAAATCTCGCGTTAAGGCACTGTCGCCCTTTTGTAAAATATATAAAAAGATTATTTAAAATATTCAAAGAGCGACAATGCGACAACGCCACAATGCGACAAATGGCCAAAATGTTGCGTTGTCGAATTGTTGCGATTTGGTTAATTTTGACACGTTTTGCTTGTTTTTGTAAGGGCGTCAATGCGACGATACGACAACGCGACAATGTCCCTTCAAAGATTCCATAGTGATCCGTGCAAATAAAACTGAGTTATGAAATAGAAGTCTAACATGCCAATTAAAAGATAAAGTGTAAAAATGCGCTGATGAGTTCATCTGCAAGCCAAGTCTATACGCTGTGATTAACAATAATGCTCTGAGTCAATACATTTTGTCAAATGTATGACATATATTACCTATGGAATACTGTAAGAGACATTCTCGCGATCTCGCATTCTCGCGATCTCGACCTTTGGAAACGAGCTAAATATGCCCAAAACACGAGAATGCGAGATCGCGAGAACGCGAGATTTGGACATAGCACTTTTTGTCAAATGTCGACAACGCGAGAATGCTTGGTTGTGGTTCAGGGAAAGTTGACAGCAAATCGTAAATCAATTATATATATATATATATAATTGATTTATATTTATATATATATATAAATATAAGGAACGTGTTCATGAGGCGAGACATTTCAAAACAGTTTAGATATATATAAACTGATATATATATATATATAGTATATATATATATATATATATAAACTGTTTTGAAATGTCTCGCCTCATGAACACGTTCCTTATTTCAATATTGCATTCAGTTTCACACATGTCTGTACACAACATTTTTATATTTTACATGTATACGACGGCTACATGGGGAAGCATAACGGTAAACACAAACGTGTGTTTGTTTAACATTTTTGTGTGTTGAAACACGTATTATTTTAAAGGGAAATATAAACATTTAGTCTGGTCGGGTAACTAATTCTAACTATTGTTTCCTGAATAAAATATTATTTACTTCAGATATACCCCAG